AGAAGGGGGGGCTCTACGCCTGTGGGGGGGGGCTAGAAGGGAGGTGGGAGCGTGCGCCGCCTCGCCCCCCACCCAGCGGCACAAGACCGGAAGTCGGAGCTGGGGGACGAGCGAGTGTGTGAGGGAGCGGGCGAAAGGAAACAGCCCGGCCGGAAGTGCCCGCCTTTCTTTTTTCTCCTCCCCCCCTCCTCCCATGCGCCTAACTCCTCCGGCCTATCGCCGCTGGAGGACGGCGGTGAGTGACAGGCGGCCTCCCGGCGGGCCAATGAGGGAAAGGCGGGGCGGGGCCAAAAAAAAAAAAAAAGGGGGAAGGGATGTGAAATTCCTCCCTCGGAGGAGGACGTTAGACTTAGGAAACGTGAAGAGGGACAGCCCTCCTTGTCGGGAAGTCGCTTCCGGGTTCAGTTTTTTTTTTGGCTCTCTCTATACCATTTCATTCTTGAAGTCGACTTTATACTGGAATAGATCAGACTGCCTTGTGAGGGTGGTATGCGGTATCCACCACGGATAACAATATAGTAACAAGAATAACAATAGTGAAACCCGTCCCCTAGCTGGCCTACGAACGAGCATGGAGTTTTTCTTCACTTTTCGTAGCTCTGTGGAGCCTCCCCACTTTTTTCTCTCTCGCGCATGCGCCTTAGACCCCATGTTTCTCGGGGTTTTTTTTATTTGCGCTCGCCTCACCAGAGCTCACCCAACCGCGCATGCGCTGTTCTTTCCTTTACAGTTCCCATCCTCTGAGGCGCAGTTATTCCGCAATAAGAACCCCGCATTTGAATTGCCCCGCCTTCTGCACCTCTGCCCCCCCTCCCTTCCCCTAAAAACCCTGCCCTAATGGCCTCAGACTAGGTGCACGTTCCCACGACCCCAATGAAAGCTGCAAGCAGAACACGTGTTCTTGCCACTGATGCAGAGGAAGGGAGGCAAATATTTAATAATAATTCCCGATATTAATGATTAATCCAGTTCATACTCTGCTCACTGCATCAATGACGCTGAGGGGTTTGCAATAAAATTTATCAATATTGGATATGTGTGTGTATGTATATATGCAAATGTATGTATGTATATGTACCTATACATACATACACACATACATATATACACATACATGTGTGTGTATATATGTAGATACATTGATATATATGTATATGTATGTGTGCGTGTAATATATGTATACATATGTGTGTATACATATATACATTGTGTGTATATGTATTTATTTATTATTGAATTTCTATACCGCCCTATGTATGTATATATAGATCGATTGATATATGTATATATGTATATACACACATACATAGATCGATTGATATATGTATATATGTATATACACACATACATATATACACATATACGTGTATATATGTAGATACATTGATGTATATGTATATGTATGTGTGCGTGTAATATATGTATACATATGTGTGTATACATATATACATTGTGTGTATATGTATGTGTATATATAGATCGATTGATATATGTATATATGTATATACACACATACATATATACACATATACATTGTGTACATATGTAGATACATTGATATATAAGTATATGTATGTGTGCGTGTAATATATGTATACATATGTGTGTATACATATATACATTGTGTGTATATGTATGTGTATATATAGATCGATTGATATATGTATATATGTATTAATGCAAATATGTATATATACCATATATACACACATACATACACATGTATACATATGTGCGTATATATACTTGTATAGATGTATAGATCAGTTCACACCCCCACTGGCAGTTAAAAAGAAGAAACAGCTGCGATCACACATTGCTCCTAGAAGCACGAAGCCGAAGACACCAGCCTGAAGATGACGAATGAGACTTCGTCGAAACGTCGCCAAGACACTTCCAATTTTACGCGGGAGAAAACCCGAATAACCAAAGACCTACATATATGTAAGTATATATACATATATACACACATACATACACATACACATGTGTGTGTGTATATATATATTTATATATATATATACACACAGAGAGATAAGGAGAATCCAAGACTTCGGTGCCTTCCGTCGTGCCCTTAAAACTTTCTTTTTTCAGCAAGCCGGGCTGGCTTAACAAATTTTTTAAATAATTTTAAATTGGTTTGTCATTTTAAATTTGGGGCCAAACAGATATATATTCTTTTAACTGTTTTTCATGTTTGTATTGTATTGTATGTTTTTATTTGGCTGTACACCGCCCTGAGTCCCCAGGGAGAAGGGCCGTCTATAAATTCAAAATAAAATAAATAAAATAAAATAAATATATGAAGATTGATATATATGTATATGTATGTATACATGTAATATATGTTTGTGTGTATATACATGTATACATTGTATATAAGTATATGTATGTATATGTATAGATCAATTGATGTATATATATATATATATGCATGTATGCATGTAATATATGTATGTGTGTGTATATACATATATACAATGGGGACTCGTATTTACGACGGTCGCTGTGTCCCCCCCGGGAGTCACGATATTCCTCTTTCGCAATGTTCCGACAAGCCCAGTCAATGGGGAAGCTGGATTCGCTTAACGACCAGTGTGTTAAGTGTGACTAACTTAATAACGGCAGCGATTCGCTTCCCAACTGTGGCAAACAAGATCGTTAAATGGGGCGAAACTCACTTAACGGTCTCGCTTAGCAACCAAAATTTTGGGCTCCGTTGTGGTCGTAACTTGGAGGGCCATCCGTATTATTACTCTTGCTATTTTTTTAGCTTTTTTTTTAAAGTAATTTTAAAGTATTAAACTTTTGACTTTTAAAAACAAAATAAAGAAAAATACAACAAAAACAGAAACTCATTAAAAACCCAGAACAAACATAACATTACATCATATATTATTTTACAGCTTTCTGTAATTGCTGTTTTCTTAGCTTTTAATCTTCCTTTTTTTTTTTTTTTTCCTGCTGTCTGTTTTATCTCTGATAGCCTTGGAAGTCAGTTTTTTTAAAAAAAAGAACATTTATTTTCTTGAAAAGGGCATTTAGATTTATGTTTTCAAATGAGCAAACGTGTTTTAGGAAATGCTTGAAGAAGAACAAAAAAAAAGAAAAAAGAAACTTGAAAGTAATTATTCCCACCGAGAAATGAAACCAAGTCAAAACAGGCTGTTTTGGGGCTGAAAAATATATATTATATTCCTGAAAAACAAATAATTTCAAAACATTTCCAGAAGGGATACTATGTCCTTTTAATTCCAGCCAAACCAAAGTATCTCGTGACGATTTGAAGGCTCGTAAAATTATGGTGCCTTCAGAGAATATGTCAGAAGACAATGATTAACCTTTGTCGCCTAAAAATAAAGCCACAAATATCTATCCTAGCTTCTTTTTGTCTTTTTCTTTTAAGCGTGATTTGTAGCCATTCAAAAATACTGCGGAAGGTTTGCATACACCAGGGAAATAAATTTTCTTCTCGGAGAGGCTAAAGTAATGCAATTGTGAACAGTCCGGAGGAAATGAAAAAAAAAAAAAAAAAGAACATTTAATTATCCTTTTTTCTCGGGTGCAAAACAGCCATCCTTCTTTTTTTTTTAACAAAAACAAAACAGGACACTGTAAATGTATTTTTTAAAAAAGCAAAGGACATTTTTTTTCTGCCTTTTTCTCAAGCTGAATTCTCGCTTTTTCAAACACTCGGATCAGAGGTGGTATTTTGCCGGTTCGTACCGGTTCGGTACGAACCGGCAAATACCGGTATCAGTAGCCCTCCCGGATATAATGCCGTCCTATTTAACCATGTTTTTGAGGACAGGCGTATGCACGGAAGACCCCATGTGTGAGCAAAGTGCATGTATGGAAGCCCGGGTGCATACATGGAACAGTGGTGAGTTGTTCCTGGTTTGGTCCGGTTCTATAGAACCGGTAATAAAAACCAATGGGAGACTCCGCCCACCCGCCCCAACGTCATCATGGATGATCTGCGCGCTCCCGTTGCGAACCGGTAGTAAAGGTAAGTGGAATCCACCCCGGCGCGGAAGGAATGCGCACGCACGCACGAATCAAGTGTGCGTGGCGAACCAGTGGTTCAGATCCCAACATGATTTGCACATGCAGTGCTCACGGACAAATTAGGTCTGAGACGGTGGATTTGGGACTTCGTGTAGTGGCCCGTCAGTGGCCTGTGCGGATTGTAGCTGATTCCGACAGCGAGGAGGCTGGTGTGGTGCTGCGCCAGCAGCCTGTGCAGCTGGCACTCGAGTCGGACAGTGAGGAGGCTGGAGAAGATGTGGTGCCAGAGGCGGGGATTCAGCCAGGGCCTTCAGAAGCTCCCATAAGTGAAGAGGAAGAAGAGGAGGAGCCTCTTCTCGATGCACGGGCGCGCAGAGTTGCCAAAAGGCAGGAATGGCTCCTTAGAGGAGGTCTCTTCGAGAGTAAGGCTTGGGGCTAATTGGCCACTCCCTTAGCCTATTTAAGGAGGAACGCCGACTGAAGCAATTTGCAGGAAACAACTTCGTTCACTCTCCTTCGCGTCCTGATCTTAGTTCTCTGCAAATTGCTTCTGGGCTTTCTGCCAACCCTAGTAAGATTACGATTATTTATTCTTTGGAGTCTTGTAGGCTGTTAAGAAAATTAATTAACAGCCTTTGTTTGAAAAAGACTGATTTAATTTAGTAAACTAAGGTTTGTACAGACTTCGTGTGTGCTGCGTTCTTTGGGTCCGTACCTGGGACAGAACACTTCCCTTCCAGATTTGTGATATGTTGGTTTAAAGAAAAGAAAGAATGAACCAAGTTTTAAAATCAGCTGAATTAGAGGTGTGTCTCAGCGGGGAGGGATTTTTAAGGGAGCCCAGAAGGCACCGCCGTGAAACAGGAGGGAGGGACGGAAGGATGGACGGAAAGATGGACACACAAAGCTGTGTCCGAAGCTTAACACGAGAAAAAGATCCTCTGTGACCCTCTTCTTAGAGCTTCACAGCCAACCAAAAATGAAAGAGGGAGTTGACTTAATACATTCCGTTTATTGTAAAATCTGCAGCTTCCGGGAACCCGCAACAGGGTTGTGTCTCCGTGTAGAGCTCACTGTCACAAGAGTTGTGTAGGGTCCGGGCCTCCCTTAATTGCCACGCCGACTCAACCACAGAAGTTCCAATTGTCCAACATCCCCAGAAAAGATGAGGAGGTGGCCTGTAAAAGTGATGGAGCTTAAGCCAACTTCTCCAGAACTTCCCATCATGAAGGTAGAGAAGATGGTGTCTTCCTGATCATCATCTTCTGATCTACCCAACCTTAGGACCCTGGGGACCAGATTTGCGGGGTGATGAAGAAGCGAAAGGAAATGGGGCAGGGGAGCAAGGATAGTCCTCTGACGTCCATTGGTGGTGCCCTTAACTCCAAGCCAATAGGTTCTTCGAAGACAGTCTCGGTTGGGTGCCTCAGCTAAGATGTCCTTGAAGGAAGCAGGAGTAAGCGTCTTCTCCATCTTCTCATCATCCTCGGGTACTGCTGACCCTTTCACCCATCAACCAGTACGTCCGGAGTTTCCCCTTGCCCTGTGAGTAGGAAATAGATGGAGGACAGAAGGTCTATCAGAGTTCAGGAAGAAGGTGCCTCCAGAGCCATCGGCCACCCAGTGACTCAAGAACCCAGATGCAGGGAGGACCTTCAACCCAACACACGTCCCCCTCACCTTCATCTCTATGTCTCCTCGGAGGTCCAGTTCGAAGCACCCAAACTCCTCAAGGATGGTTTTGGTGGCCGCCGATAAGTGGATTTTCAATGCTGGAATGACCAGAGGAGGTGCATTAGAACATCTTTACAGAACATCTGGATTTAGAAAGACTGAACTGGAGAAAGGGAGCTGAGATGGAGACTAGGAAGCCCTCCCAGCAAGACTGGGAAGTTGAAGAAGTCCTGAAGGATCACTCTTGTGCTACATGGATGCAACCACAAAGGAGATGGCCTCAATTGGTTCTTCTCAAGATGTTCTCGCTTCACATGGTCCTTGTAGAAGCCCCTTGCTTCAACAGGCTCGGTAGAAATTGTCTTCAACCAAGTAGCCTCAAAGTCTTCTCCTAGGTCAGTTATTCTACCATCTCCTTAACCTCACCTTCTTCATTCTTCTCCCAAAATCACTTACCTTCACCGTTGGATTCCATGCGTGAAGCCGTGTTGACAGTGTCTCCAAAGAGACAGTAACGAGGCATCTTCAAGCCTACAACTCCTGCGCAGACTGGACCTTGAGGGAGAAAATACGATGGGTCAGCAAGGTCAACGAGATGGCTTCTAACCACTATTCCTTGACCTGATTATAAGGACCGATCTTGAAACCACAATATTCAGATCTAACCAGGAATAATAGGGGATTTTTTTTTTCTTCCTATCTTGGCTTGTGAAGGATCTGATTCTAAATGTCGCTTTCAGAGGTGAACCGAATGAGAGCTTGAGAGAATTCAAGTGCTGATTCTTCTAGACCATGATTTAGATCTCCGGGGAGCCATCAAACCCTGATTGGTGGCTAGTTCTCCTTTTCGCCTCCCTTCCCTGAGAATCCTAGAACATGTTTTGGAGAACCGCCGTTCAAAGTCACATCCCCAAGGTCTCCTTTGTCAATGCCGGAGAAACCACAACATGCAAACCATGGTTCCCGGTTATTTCATGGTTCAACCTCCATGGTTCGTCAAAAGCTCATCAACATTTGGACCACTGCAAGGAACTGGGTTAACGTCTTGACTGTATATGTCAGATCTACTGACTTCTGAAGCACCATAATTGCAGGATCTATCTTCCTGTCTCTTACACACTCCTTTCCACACCAACCCGTCTTTGTGATAGACACACAAGAAGCTCCTCACCGCTATGGATGCCAATCCGCAGTTTGAGTTGTTCTTCAGGCCGGTGGTGAATTTTGAAGTTGCGAACGGCTTCCAGGAGGGCCAGGGACATGCGGGAAATCTCGCGGGCGTGCAATCGGCCATTGCGAACCGGTAATCCGGACACCACCATGTAGGCGTCCCCGATTGTCTCCACCTAGACAAAGAATAGAGCAACGGTTCTTCTCAGCCTGGGTGGCTTGTAAGGGTTTGTGGACTTCAACTCCCAGAATTCCAGAGTTGTGGGCGTTGAACTCCACGCGTTGGGACTGGGGAATTCTGGGAGTTGAAGTCCACAATTCTTACATTTATTTGTAAGTACACCAACCAGAAGATAGGATGAGGTTCAACCATCAATACAAAAGAGAGGAAGATGAACAGACAGACAGGCATTATGGAAGTATGGAGATAGGTAGATAGATACTGGTAGATTAGATAGAGAGAGAGAGAGAGAGAAAGAGATATGATGGAAGAGAGGGAGGGAAGAAATATAGATAAGAGATAAGAGACTGGGTGGATGAAGGATGGATGGATGGATGAAGATTGTGATTTACAGATAAGGAGAAAAATGGATGGATGGGTAGATGATAGACAGAAAGAGATAGACAGGGAAGGAAGGAAGGAAGGAAAGGAGGGAGAGAGGGAGGGAGGAAACATAGATAAGAGATAAGAGACAGGATGGATGGATGGATGGATGGATGGATGGATGGATGGATGGAGATTGTGACTGATAGATATTTATTTTATTATTTATTAATTTTATTTTTAAAATAAAGGAGATAAGGAGAAAAATAGATGGATGGGTAGATGATAGACAGAAAGAGATAGACAGGGAGGGAAGGAAGGAAGGAAGGAAGGAAGGAAGGAAAGGAGGGAGAGAGAGGGAGGAAACATAGATAAGAGACTGGATGGATGGATGGATGGAGATTGTGACTGATAGATAAGGAGAAAAATGGATGGATGGGTAGATAATAGACAGACAGAGATAGACCGGGAGGGAAGGAAGGAAGGAAAGGAGGGAGAGAGGGAGGGAGGAAACATAGATAAGAGACTGGATGGATGGATGGATGGATGGATGGATGGAGATTGTGATTGATAGATAAGGAGAAAAATGGATGGATGGGTAGATGTTAGACAGAGATAGACAGGGAAGGAAGGAAAGAAGGGAGGGATGGAGGGAGGGAGGAAAGAAGAAAGGAAGGAAAACATAAATAATCGATATGATAGACAGGATGGATGGAGATTATGATTGATAGGAGAGAGAGAGAGAGAGAGAGAGAGAAAGAGAGAGAGAAATGACAAGACTGTCCTTACCTTGTAGACATCAAAGTTATCAATGATTGCATCAAAACAGGTGTATAAGTCATTCAGCAAAGCCACCACCTGGGAAAATAAAGCAGGAAAAAAAAAAACAGGGAGTGACCAACTGGTAGAACAAATCCAGGGGTCTCTTCAAGGGGACGTCGTCATCACCTTCCCAAAGGAAGAAACCAGAGGCACCCAAGATTTGTGGGATGGTTTCAAGCCGACTTGAGGCCGGACGGACACTTGACCAGCTCCTGTGAGCCTTCCCTGCCACCCCACCCCATCTCCGCGCTTACCTGCATGGGGGTACTCTCTGCCGACAAGGCGGTGAACCCCACAATGTCGCTGAAGTAGATGGTGACGCTGTCGAAGGCCTCCGCCTGCACCGTCTCCCCCCGTTTCAGCTGCTCGGCCACCGAGCTGGACGGGAAAGGGTACAACGTCACACCCACGAGTTAATTCGGACAGGATGAAATCAGAAGGGGGTAACATCCTGGCTCGGCTGGGGCTGACCGAGGTCCGGCTTCTGGGGACAGGGTTTGGGGGCGTAAGGGGTAGCGTGGACCAATCGTTGCCCCCCGCCAAGCCACTCTGTCCCTCTGTCTTGGCATCGCTGGGCATTTCCCCCTCCTTATTCCTCCCCTCCCATTCCAAATGTTGGGAGTTTTTCCACGGCTGGGCGTGAAAAATAAAGGAAGTGCGGAGAGAGAGGGTACCTTCCACGTGAGATGGTTGGCATATACATTTTCATAAAACAAACAAACAAATCTTAATTCATTAATCAGCAGAACAACTTGCCTCCAGAAGTTGTGAATGCTCCAACACTGGAAGTTTTTAAGAAGAGATTGGATACCATTTGCCTGAAGTGGTTTGTAGGGTTTCCTGCCTAAGCAGGGGGTTGGACTAGAAGACCTCCAAGGTCCCTTCCAACTCTGTCTATTCTATTCTATTCTATTCTATTCTATTCTATTCTATTCTATTCTATTCTATTCTATTCTATTCTATTCTGTATCTTTTAGGCTTCATTGGGCGAATCAAAGCTGGCAGGCTGAGAAGAAAAGAAGCTTATCCAATCTAAAAACATCTTCCCTTGAACTCTCTTTTCCAAAAAAAACCGTCAAAGGAATGGAGGTCTCATCCCACCCACCTCAAACTGAAAATTTGTCCAGCTAAAATATGTCTGTCTTGTTGCAGAGCTCGGTTGCAAAGTGGGAATAAATAGCCCCAACCTCTGTCATGCAAAGATAGACTGCTCCTGTCCAGGAAGGCTCTACTGTGCGATGACAGCTAAGATCGCGGGGAAGAAGCGGACTTACTGAGGTAAAATCTGGTACAGGAGGGCCTCGGCTTTGCGCTTCTCCTCCAGGTAGGCCTGTGTCCGTTCCTCTACCAGTTCTTCCAAATTGTTGGCGTACTGCTCCATCCGCGACAGCAGCGTATCCAAGAGGTTGCAGCTGTTTTCCCTGCCATCGACATTCAGAGGCTGAAGCCACCCAGTCTGCTTCCCGGGCCCTTTCCAGCTTTCGTTTGAAAACCAAACTAAGTTTCTAGTCCTCTCTGTTCCAGAATCTGGAAGTTTGGGCCAACTCCGCCTCTCGCCTCACCAGATCTCCTCGGATGACTTCTTGATCTTCAAAACCTGCCAGAAAATCCAGCCCAGCCCAGCCCAGCCCAGCCAGTCCTGTCCCCACCCATCCCCACACCGCGCTCTACCTGTTGAACTTCCGCAGCATGCCTTTGATGTGTTGAAAATCTGGCCGCTCCTGTGGGTCCTCAGCCCAGCACCTCTGCATGAGATGGACCACCTCCTCCAAATTGGAGGGCAGATTGGTCGAGGGGCGAAAGGGAGGTTGTTCGCCGCTCGCGACGCGCTTGATAATCTCTGGAAAAGGGCCAAAAAATGGGGGGGGGAGAAATGTGGGGCGTTAGGAGATACCTGGGAGGGCGCCCACGAGGAGGAGAAAAAGAATGCAGGGACATTGCCCCATATTTTTTAAAAAAATTGCATGGGTTTTGTCCACCACCAGGAATTCCAAAGCAGATGTTGCTTCCTGTTAAAAAACGAGGGCAGATTACATGGACAAATTTTAGATTTCCTGCGAGAAACGAGGCTAGAAACAAGGATAAATTATACAGACAGATTTTAGATTTCCTGCAAGAAAAGAGACTAGAAACAAGGATAAATTATACAGACAGATTTTAGATTTCCTGCGAGAAACAAGGCTAGAAACAAGGATAAATTATACAGACAGATTTTAGATTTCCTGCAAGAAAAGAGACTAGAAACAAGGATGAATTATATGGACAGATTTTAGATTTCTTGCAAGAAACGAGGCTAGAAACAAGGATAAATTATACGGACAGATTTTAGATTTCTTGCGAGAAACGAGGCTAGAAACAAGGATAAATTATACAGACAGATTTTAGATTTCCTGCGAGAAATGAGGCTAGAAACAAGGATGAATTATACAGACAGATTTTAGATTTCCTGCAAGAAACGAGGCTAGAAACAAGGATGAATTAAATAGACAGATTTTAGATTTCCTGCAAGAAAAGAGACTAGAAACAAGGATAAATTATACAGACAGATTTTAGATTTCCTGCAAGAAATGAGGCTAGAAACAAGGATAAATTAAATAGACAGATTTTAGATTTCCTGCAAGAAACAAGGCTAGAAACAAAGATGAATTAAATAGACAGATTTTAGATTTCCTGCAAGAAAAGAGACTAGAAACAAGGATGAATTATATGGACAGATTTTAGATTTCTTGTGAGAAACGAGGCTAGAAACAAGGATAAATTATACGGACAAATTTTAGATTTCTTGCGAGAAATAAGGCTAGAAACAAGGATGAATTATATGGACAGATTTTAGATTTCCTGCGAGAAACAAGGCTAGAAATAAGGATATACGGACAGATTTTAGATTTCTTGCAAGAAACGAGGACAGATTACATTAATGAGATCAAAATCATCAAATTCCATCCAAGGAAATTGGCTATTTTATTTTTTCCTTCTCACCTTTGGGACTCAGATCCACCCCTTCCACATAGAAGACGCTGTTGCGTAGGGCAATTTCTTGCAAAATGATGCCAAAGCTGTAGACGTCTCCTTTTTGAGTACCCGGACAGGCATTGGTGCCCAACCTCAAGAGTTCGGGAGCCGTCCAGAGTCTCTCTAAAGAAACGGGGAACTGGGATCAGACGGGGCTAAAGACCTTCCGATCTAGCAGGCAAGAAGGAAGATAATCTACAGGAAGTCCTCGATTTACGAGCACTTGTTAGCGACTGTCTGAAGTCACAACAAAAAGTGACTTACAGCCGGTTGGTCCACGTACGGCCATCGCAGCATCCCCACGGGGGTCAAAATTTTGGCCTTTGGCAAGCCTTGCGCCCACCGAGGGCAACTCACTGGCAAAGAGGGCGTGTGAATCGTCCGTCTCGGGCGCCTGGCGGAAGCTCTCCAGCCCGTAATCGGTGATCTTCAGCACAAAACGGCTGTCGACCACGCAGTTGGACGACTTCAGGTTGCCGTGGTAGGCGATCACGCTGTGGTGCAGGAAAAGCATCCCCTTGAAGCCGAGAGAAGACGGAGAGGAGCAAGAGAGGAGAGGAGAGGAGAGACCGTCAGGGTGGGCGAGACTCCCCGCTCCATCATCCTGAGCCAAATCCCCAGGTCAGTTCACGAATCCTAGACGACTCCTCCTGCAGTTGTGTTGGGTGCTCTCTCAGGTGGGTGGTTTTCTTGCAGACATTTCATGACCCAATTAGGTAACCGCATCAGCGCTAGTGGGGTTTGCTGCAAATGCTCCTTCTAGTACTGATGAGATTACCTAGTTGGGTCATGAAACATCTACAAGAAAACAATCAAGCTTAGAGAGCACCAATGACCCAACAGTCATCTTCCTCCTCCTCCTCCTCCTCCCACTCCCTTCCAGCACTGATGAGGTTACCTAGTTGGGTCAAAAAACGTCTGGAAGAATACCACCAAGCTCAGAGAGCACCAAAGACCCCTCACTTCAACCCCAAGCTGCAAAAATTGCCCTTTAAATCAAGGTTTATTCTCCGGCTGAGTCCCAGATCCAACTTTCAAACTCTCCCAGCCTTTTCCTGGCTGCCATTTTGACTCTTTTGACCGAAAATCCCCACCGCCACCTCACAAACGCCCTTCGGTCCACCTTATTCCCAAACTCCATCCCCCTACAGATCAAACTCTCGGCAAAACTGCGGTCCGGCCATTGAAAATATCATTCTTGTCTTAATTTTGGGGTGGGGGGATGTTTCTGGAATTCAGCTGGACATCAGAGGACGGAAGGAGGAATGGTGCGGTGGCCTAGAGGTGGAGCTCTCGCCTCACAATCAGGAGGCTGCGAGTTCGATACTAGGTAGAGGCAGATATTTCTTTCTCTCGGCACACGGAGAATATTATCTGCCGAACAAAACTCCGCTCTGGCAACAGGAAAGGCATCCGGCCAGTAAAACACTCTACTAGCTCCATTCAGTTGCCCAGATTCCACCTCGCAAGGGATTATGGGGTCGTTCAATGATGTTGATGATGATCAGAGGACAGAAGAAGAGTTGGACGGATGGCTTTCTGTCTTAAGTCTAAAAATCTCTTTTTACTCTTCGCTTACCTTGATGATGTCGTTGGTGAGCGAATAGCGGAACATCCAGTCCAAGGTAATGTTGTCATTCTCCAGGATGTCCTAAACGGATGGGGGGAGGGGGAGAGCAACATGGGTTTACAAATCATTTCAAAGCAGTTCTCCCCTTCCTTTCGACCCATTTTGAGGCAGCCCTCGACTTACGACCATTTTTTTAGCATTTTACATTGCTTTCTTTTCCTTTATCTCTGATTTTAGTCTCTATCTCCTTTTGGTATGGTGCAATTCTTCCCTAAATATATGTATTTATCCCCATTGCATATGTATATATATATCTTTGGAAGAGGCAATTTGCTTATAACTCTCTACTGAAGTTGCTTGGATAGATGGATGGATGGATGGATGGATGGATGGATGGATGGATGGATGGATGGATGGATGGATGGATGGATGGATGGATGGATGGATGGAAGGAAGGAAGGAAGGAAGGAAGGATAGATAGATAGATAGATAGATAGATAGATAGATAGATAGATAGATAGATAGATAGATAGATAGATAGATATGCAGGTAGGTAGGTAGGTAGGTCAGTCGGTCAGTCGATACATACATACATAGATAGATATGCAGATAGGTAGATAGGTAGTTAGGTAGATAGATATATAGATAAATACACAGGTAGGTAGGTAGATAATGATAGACAGACAGACTGGTAGATAGATAGATACGCAGGTAGGTAGGTAGGTAGATAAGTAGGTAGGTAGGTAAGTAGGTAGATAGGTAGATAAGATAGATAGATAAATAGATCGATAAAGATAGATCGATAGTTTGATAAAGATAGATAGATCGATCGATAAAGATAGATAGATAGATAGATAGATCGATAAAGATAGATAGATAGATAGATAGATAAATAGATAGATAGATTGATTGATTGATAAAGATAGATAGATAGATAAAGATAGATAGATAAGATAGATAGATAGATCGATAAAGATAGATAGATAGATTGATATAGATCGATCGATCGATAAAGATAGATAGATAGATTGATTGATAAAGATAGATAGATAGATTGATTGATTGATAAAGATAGAGAGAGAGAGAGAGAGACACACACACAGACACATAGATGATATATATTCATATATATATATATATATATATATTATATATATATATATATATATATATATATATATAAAACTTTACATTGCTTTTCCCCCCGTTTATCTCCTACACACAGTAAAATTGGAGCCAAACAGAGAAAAAGAGGCTTTTTATGATCCTTCCAGCTCCTGCGTTTGGGCCTGGGGGAAAAAACAATTTAAAAAATCCAATGTTCTCTTTTCTCTGACACCCACCCACCCCCGCAACCCCCCCGCCTCCACCGTCCCGGTTAGTTGTGTGTCCTTTTCTCCGCTTGCTTTGTTATTTCTTCTCTGCCTTTCTTTTGCCCAATTTATCTGCAGCAGCCAGCCGGAAACCTCGGCATGTAGAAACCGCTGTTCTTTGACACACAAATGCAAGTCGTCTCACGTGCCATAAATCACCTCTCTGGAATTGGCTTCTTCTCTACCAGGCGGGGGGGGGGAGAAATTGTTGTGGTTTTTTTTTTGTTTGAAAGCTTCCCCCGGGTCCTTTTTTAATTAAAAATTCTCGCCTGCCCACCCCTCTGCCTGCCCGCCCTCGCCTTGGCCCCGTGCCCAGCCGGACTCGAGATGGCACGGCCCATTCCTTGGCAGAGGAAAGACGCTGCTGGAGGCTGGCACCTAAATCCAGAGACTAAAATCAGAGATAAAATGGGGGAAAAAAAGCAACATGAAATGCTCCATCATTGGAAGTTTTGACTGGACAGCCATGTGTCTAAAATCATCTTTCTTCTTGGGTCAGAATAGAAGACCTCCAAGGCCCCTTTCATTATTCTACATTCTGAGCAACGGGTCAGAGTAGAAGACCTCCGAGGTCCCTTCCGACTCTGTGATTCTGTTATTATTATTATTTTTTTTAATTTGATTTATATGCCGCCCTTCTCCGGAGACTCAGGGCGGCTTACAGTGCGTTAAGCAATCGCCTTCATCCTTTTGTATATTTTTATACAAAGTCAGCTTATTGCCCCCACAAACCGGGTCCTCAATTTACCTACCTTAGAAAGGATGGAAGGCTGAGTTCAACCTTGAGCCTTGGCGAGGTTCGAACTTACTTTAAATTGCAGACAGCTGGTGTTAAATTATAGCGCCTTGTCTGCAGAGCTATCCAGGCTCTAGTCTTTCAAGCCAGAGAGATAAAACCGCCCTTCCCAAAAATAATAATAATAATAATAAATTGCTAGAGTCTAGGGTTTTTTTTTGATGAATTCCTCCTGACCTTTCGTTTACCTCTTTCCTGGAATGAAAATAATTTTTAAAAAGGGCGGACAAGGGAGAGGAGGAAGAGAAAAATGCCAGAAGGTTTCGCCTGGGTCCCTCCCTCCCTTCCCCTCCTCCTTTTTCCTTTTTTCCTTCGCCCTTCCTCTTTTTCTGATCCCCAGCTACCTAGCCTCTCCTGGGGTACCTGCAGGCTCCCCCGAGTGCAATACTCCGTCAAGACGCAGATATTCGGGGGGTCAATGCAGGCGCCGATGAAACGAGTCAGATGCTTGTTCTGGACGTCTCTCATCTGGAGAGGAAGAGGAGGAAGAAGAGGGAAGAGGGGGGAAAAAAGTCGCTTGGTCTTGGTAGTGTACATATACACACACAAGGGACTTTGCAAATCCCTCTCTGGAACATTGCGAGTCCGGTTAGAACTTAGAACAACTTAACAAATGTATGCTCCGCTTAAAAAAATGGGGTTTGCACTCTGTACGTGGGCAGAGGCCTTCTGCTCAGCCCAACAAGCGAGAAGACGAAGGAAGGAAGACAACAAATTGGAAAGCTCTACCGAAAGGGGGATGTCACTGAATCAAAGAACGTGTATCCTACCACCACCACCATCGGATAGTTAGTAGAATCATAAACTTGGAATGGAAGGGACATTAAGGGGTCATCTAGTCCAACCCGCCCTCCTCCTCCGATCGCCAGCCTATTTCTCCAGGGGAGGGCACCGAAGCAAAAGATGGGGATAAATGACCTCTAAGGTCCTCCCATCCACCTTCTCAGCCCCCCCCCACCCCCGGATGTCTACAAATGTGGATGGTCGGGAATCGAATTCGAGCCCTACGCCAAGCCTCGAAGGCCAACCTGGGAATCCAAAATGTAAAGATTGTGTCTCCGGTGAATCAAATCAAATCTTTATTACAGTCACAGACCAGCATTCGCCGGGTGAAAAAAAGTGAGGCTGTTTGCACGTTGCCTGGAGGAAACCTAGTTTATAAACCCAGCTTTGCTTGTCGCCTGGAGGGAAATCTAGTTTTCAAACCCAGCTTTGCATATTGCCTGGAGGAAAATCTAGTTTTCAAACCTAGCTTTCGCCTGGAGGAAACTCAGTTTATAAACCCAGTTTTACACGTCGCCTGGAGGAAACCTAGTTTTCAAACCCAGCTTTGCATGTCGCCTGGAGGAAAATCTAGTTTTCAAACCTAGCTTTCGCCTGGAAGAAACTCAGTTTATAAACCCAGCTTTGCACGTCGCCTGGAGGAAACCTAGTTTTCAAACCCAGCTTTGCATGTCGCCTGGAGGAAAATCTAGTTTTCAAACCTAGCTTTCACCTGGAGGAAACTCAGTTTATAAACCCAGTTTTACACGTCGCCTGGGGGGAAACCTAGTTCTCAAACCCAGCTTTGCATGTCGCCTGGAGGGAAATCTAGTTTTCAAACCCAGCTTTCGCCTGGAGGAAACTCAGTTTATAAACCCAGTTTTACACGTCGCCTGGGGGGAAACCTAGTAGTCAAACCCAGCTTTGCACCTCGCCTGGAGGAAGCTGAGCCCTTTTTCTTTTGGTGTTCATGCTGGCTTGTTTGTGGCATGCTGGCTTGTTCGTGGCATGTTGGATCCGGAGATGGTTTCGTAGCAGGGTTGCAAGAACGGGTGAACACGTCCCGGGCACCTTCGCCACCGACGCACAGATGGGCTTTGGACGCCCTCCAAGCGACGCCCTTGGCACCCTCCCTCTCGAAGGCCACCGGTCTGACCGGGGTAGGGCTGGACTCCTTCTCCCACACGTCACCGGTGGGCCCCGGGTCACCCCCAAGCCAGCCGGTGCAAGACTCCGCTTCCCCTTCCGCCCGGCTGCTAATCCCCAGCCATTGTGTCTGTCCAGGTCTCATCCTGGCTTATCTCCTTCCTTGCGGACGGCTGACTGAGCAACTCGGCTTCTCCAGCGTAGACACCCCACGGCTCATTAAGGGGGGAGCAGATGGCTATCGGCCTCCTGCTTCCTCGCTAATGAGTCAGGCGCCCTGGTGCAGAGGGGGGGGGGTCCGGGTGCCAGGCTGCCCCCCCTCCTCTTCGGCCCACTCCCCCCTCCCGGCTCTTTCCTTCCTGCTAAGGAGCCGGTTGAGGCTGCCCAGCTGCCTCCTGTATGATCCTTGGGAAGGGAGAGGAGGAAAGGAGGAGAGAAAAAGGGAGAGGGGAAGAAGGAAGGAGGGAAGAAGGAAAGGGGGGAAGGAGGGAGGAAAAATAGAAAGAAGAAGAAGGGAAAAGAAGGAAAGAAAAAGGGAAGGGAAGGGAAGGGAAAAGAAGAAAGAAGGAAGGAAGAGAGAGTGATAGAGACAGGAAGGGAGGGAGGGAGGAGCTAGAGAGAGAGGAGATATAGCAATAGAGGAAGGAAGGAGATAGATAGATATAGATAGATAGATAGATAGATAGATAGATAGATAGATAGATAGATAGATAGATAGATAGATAGATGGATAGATAGAGCTAGAGGAGATATAGCAATAGAGACAAGAAGGAAGGAAAAGGTAGATGACAGAAAGATAAATAGAGAAAGAGATAAGGAAGGAACAGGCGGGATAGAAGGATAATTTGAAAAAGAGAGGGAAAGAGAGAGACAGAGAGAGAGAGACAGAGACAGAGACAGAGAAAGAGAGAGACAGAGAGAGAGAGAAAGAGACAGAAACAGAGAGAGACAGAGTGAGAAAGAGGCAGAGAAAGAGAGAGACAGAGAGACAGAATGAGACAGAGAGAAAGACAGAGGGAGACACAGAGACAGAGAGACAGAGAAAGAGAGACAGAGAGAGACAGAGAAAGAGAGACAGAGATAGAGAGAGAGACAAAGACAGAGAAAGATAGAGACAGAGAGAGAAATAAAGAGACAGAGAGACAGAGACAGAAACAGAGACAGAAACAGAGAAAGACAGAGAGAGACAGTGAGAAAGAGGCAGAGAAAGAGAGAGACAGAGAGACAGAATGAGACAGAGAGAAAGACAGAGGGAGACACAGAGAGAGACAGAGAGACAGAGAGAGAGACAGAAAGAGACAGAGAAAGAGAGACAGAGATAGAGAGAGAGAAAGAGAGAGACAGAGAGACAGAATGAGACAGAGAGAAAGACAGAGGGAGACACAGAAAGAGACAGAGAAAGAGAGAGAGAGAGAGAGAGAGAGAAAGACAGAGAGAGAGAGAGAGACAGAGAGAGAAAGAAAGACAGAGAGAGAGAGAGACAGAGAGACAGAGAGAGAGACAGAGATAGAGAGAGAGACAGAGAGAGACAGAGAGAGAGAGCAGGGAGAGAGACGGCAGGTGGATAGAGAAAAAGAGAGAGAGAAGGAAGAATAAAATATAATTACGTGTTTCAGCTCAAACAAAACATCTCGTGTTAGATCAATGCGCTTCCGGTTCATGTGCTTCACGGCCACAAGGTTCCCCTGGGGAAAAAAAGAGGAGGGTGACCCAGTGTTGGGGAGACCCTCCCCCCAAGATCCCCCCCCCATGTAGGAGTAGCCCTCAAACCCAGAGCCTTCCCCATTTCTGACAACAACGATCCCAGATGAAGCTTACTTTGTAATAAGCGGTCTTGGCGTAAACCTGGAATTGTCCTTCGGTGGTTAGCAAAGATCCGTAATTTGAACCTCTCTACAGAAAAGACGGGGGGGGAAGCGGTGAGGACAAACCCCTTTTTGCAGGAGACCCTCCCTCAAAAACAAATAATCAAGCTTTTGCTTCTTTCTGAGCTTTTGAGAAGAGATTCCAGCCTCTGAATTTGGCGGGGGGGGAGGTTTGATTTGTGGGGCTTTGGCCACAAATCAAACCTGTTTTGCAATCGACCAGGGACGTGGTGGCCTACCTCAAAGGGGTGGCGTATGCACTGCACCAAGGGAATCCATGTGGAAAAGAGCTATCCAGCCAGGCAGGGGAGGCCCAGTATGGAGTCAAAAAAAATCACATTCTAAAAGAAATCTGAAATCCGCAAAGAAAATCCGCGGTCCTATTTGGAGACCGACAAAAGCGGGTACGCACCAGCGAGAGCGTGACTTTGCTCCCCATGCTGCGTAAGTTTTTCTCCAGGTTGCTCGACTGCACGTCCTCCCAGCTGACACGCCAAAATTCGGAAGCCAACTCCTTTTCCAACTTCATTTTCCTATAACGGCGTGGGGAAAACACACCGAGGCAGAAGGTATGGTTGGCCCGTCCCTCAATTTTCTTCCTTTTTTTATTTTGCAAACAGGCGATCCCGCCACCACCAGTTCATATGGTGAAAAGCAAAACAGCCCTCGCCATTTCCCCCATCGCTACCCAACCCATCTCATAAAATCTTCCCGTTAATTAGCAGCTCGGGACTGGCTTCGTTTTAAATGCATCGCTCAGAATTGGCTTTGCTTTAAACTGCATGAATCAGAATTGGCTTTGTTTTAAATGCTTCACTCGGAATTGACTTGACTTTAAACTGCATTGCTCAGAATTGGCTTTGTTTTAAATGTTTCACTCAGAATTGATTTTACTTTAAAACTGCACTGCTCAGAATTGGCTTCGTTTTAAATGCTCCACTTGGAATTGACTTTAAACTGCATTAATCAGAATTGGCTTCGTTTTAAATGCATCGCTCAGAATTGGCTTTGCTTTAAACTGCATTAATCAGAATTGGCTTCATTTTAAATGCTTCACTTGGAATTGACTTTAAACTGGATTAATCAGAATTGGCTTCGTTTTAAATGCATCGCTCAGAATTGGCTTTGCTTTAAACTGCATTAATCAGAATTGGCTTCGTTTTAAATGCTTCACTTGGAATCGACTTTAAACTGCATTAATCAGAATTGGCTTCGTTTTCAATGCATCACTCGGAATTGACTTTGATTTAAACTGCATTAATCAGAATTGGGTTCATTTTAAAGGCTTCGCTCGGAATTGACTTTCCTTAAAACTGCATTGCTCAGAATTGGCTTCGTTTTAAATGCTTCACTTGGAATTGACTTTAAACTGCATTAATCAGAATTGGCTTCATTTTAAAGGCTTCATTCGGAATTGGCTTTGCTTTAAACTGCATTGATCAGAATTGATTTTGCTTTAATCTTCATGGCTCAGAATTGGCTTCATTTTAAATGCATTAATCAGAATTGGCTTTGCTTTAAATTGCATCGATCAAAATTGATTTTGCTTTAATCTGCATCGCTCAGAATTGGCTTCGGTTTAAATAGCATCGCTCAGAATTAGCTTTGCATAAACAAACATTGGGGGGAGCCGAGGAAGGCCCATTGGGGATCAACCAGTCATGAATATCCTGCCTGAAAATCAAGTGGATCCCAGACCCGAAGCATAAAAATCGATTTTTCTGCCGGGTGGGATCAACTCTGCAAACTCACCGGTAGGCAAAGAAAGCCGTGACGATGATGCCGAAGAGGAGCAAAGTCATCACAAGCGACAAGATCTCCAGCAAGGAGAAAGAAGCTGGGAGGGAGAAGGAAAAAAAATAAAAATAAAAGCAGAGGAAGGAGATTCCTCTGACGAAGCCGATCCCAATTTGGCGGCGTCCGTGATCAACATTTAAACCAATGAAAAACAAACCCCAAATCTTCTAAACCAGCTCAGTCAAGGTGGTTTAAATCCCGCCTGAATATATGCATCTATATTGGATATATTTTGGTGGTCCCTTGCCCCAGTCCACAATTCAAGTGGAAGGGAGTTCCGCAGTCAAACCCATTTCGGGCATGTTTCTTTCCACCCAAAGCTGCACCTTTCTGACAAAGAGGATTGTCATTCTCAAATCCGCAAAAGGGCACGTCTCTCGGTATGGTGTTGCCTGGCCAGTGGATCCTTTTCCCAGGGATCATTTCGATCTTTTTGGTGGTCCCGTTGTAATTGGCCACGAGCTGCAGAGAGAGAAAGAGAGAGAGACAGAGAAAGAAAGAGAGAGAGAAAGAGAGACAGAGAGAGAGAGAGAGAGAGAGAGAGAGAGAGAGAGAGAGAGAGAAACCAGAAGGGAAAAGAGGATTTAAATATATATATATATTATTTGGGAGTGGGTAACCTTAACTCAGTGATTTTAAGAGGGATGGACTTCAACTCCCAGAATTCCCCAGCCAGTCATTTGACTGGGGAATTCTGGGACCTGAAGTTCACCCGTTTTAAAGCATGCTGGCTGGGGGATTCTGGGAGTTGAAGTTCACCCGTTTTAAAGCATGCTGGCTGGGGGATTCTGGGAGTTGAAAGATTCTTCTAGAACAGCGTAGAAATTTCTTTGATCGGCTCCAAATCACGGGTGGGTCTCTGCAACTCCAAGCCAAGTTTTTTTTTTCCGCCATTCCACTAACCTCAAACTCTCCCCTGGCCGGATCTAAATCCCAGAGGGAGTGATCCATTTCCCGATCCCCATTCTGGTCGATCCGCATGGCCCCCGTGATTCCTGCAAGGCAGAAGGATTTTTTTCAATAAATAAATAAATAAAATAACCCCAAACCTTCAAATGTCCGAAATTTCCACCCGCAAGGAGACACCCCCCCAGGAGGGTCTTTGGCCTTAAATTAAACCTTTTAAAACATCTCCATTTTTATTTTATGAGGTAAAATACTGATCGATTTAAGAACGTCAAGCGGCCCAAACGAGAATCACCGTTCTAAGGGGGGGGGTCGCACCATCGGCGGAGGGTCAGGCTGGATGACCTCTTGAGGTCCCCTCCTGATGGATTCTAAGCCTGTCTGCCATTGGAGACCTCACCCCAGGGATGTTTCGACCCCTAAATTAGTATCTGCAGGGATACCGACCGTATAAAGTCCGGTTACGCATTTGGAGTGTGATGGCCGTGCCATTGGCGGGAAAGCCGCCCTGCGCCAACGTCTCGTTTACCGCCTGGGCGTAAAGCATCACCCCGTCGTGAAAAGCCCCCGCGATGAAATTTTCCTGGAAAATTTAGAGATTTTTTTCAGGATCCAGGGATGGATAAAGCTGGAGAAGTGGGGAGGATCAAACCCACTGCTTCGAGAGCCAGGCAGGCGGGGGAGGTGGGCACTGAGTCAGGCGTGCGAAGGATTCGATTCCAAGACCCAAATCCACTCGCGAGGGTGCCGAAGGAGCAATCGCGGCTTTGCGGCCGGCCCCAAGATTGTGCCGGGAAGTCACGACGCGCACCTGGCCCGCTTGCGAACCTGGCTGGGTTCCCTTCTTCGCGCTCCTCTCGAAAGAGATGGATCGCTGGGTGGCCTCATTTCCACGCGGGATGCGCGGCCGAGACAAGGGGAACAAGCCAGCATGGCTTCTTCCACCGATGGTGGTTAAACCTGCCTGGAGATTCAACAGCAAGTGGGAACCAGGCTGGAATTCGAGCCCGGCGTTGGGTGCCGAGTTCGAGGATTGCCACTTTTCAGCCCCAAATATGGGGGGGGAAATGGGGGGCTGGACTAGAAGACCTCTAAGGTTCCTTCCAAGCCTATTATTCTACGTTTTGCCTCGACTTCGTCTCCTCCTTACCAGTCCGTCTTCCACGGTGAAGTTAAACTGCTCCTGGGAGGTACGTTTGATGTACTGGAGAAACTGACGGTATTCAGGATTTTGGGGTTCGGCGTAAGTGAGGAGCATGACAGCCTGGGGAGGGGGGTCAAGAAGGACAAAATGACTTTACCCCAATATTGGGGGCGGGAGGCAGATTATCTAGCATCATTAACTTGAGCCCACCAGCCTGTTTCGAGACACTTCCGGGAGATGGACTACAACTCCCATCCTCCCTGCCCGACAGCCGAGCCAGCGGGAGTTTCGAAACCCCAAAAACCTTTGGCACAACCGCCCGATTCTGAATTTATGTCACTCGGCGACTTTTTTTTCAAAGCTTTCCGCCCATCATCGTTCCATGGGGTCAGGTAGACTTCCCCCACCCATGGAGGCTCCACGGAGCCATTTTGCAGACGAGATCCTCCGTCGAATTGTAGAAAGAAAGATTAGGTAAATCATCTGATCCAACCCTGTGCCTGGGCCAGAAACCCCTCACTGTGGGTAGTCCTCAACTTATAACTGTTCAGGTAGACTTTCCCCACCCATGGAGGCTCCACGGAGCCGTTTTGCAGACGAGATCCTCCCTACAATCATAGAAAGCAGGGAAATTAAAGAGATATCATCCGATATCCAACCCCCGTTGCCTGGGCCAGAAACCCCTCGCTGTGGGCAGTCCTCAACGTATAACTCTTCAGGTAGACTTCCCTCACCCATGGAGGCTCCACGGAGCCGTGTTTTGCGGATGAGATCCTCCGCCGAATCGTAGAAAGCAAGAAGCTTAGGGAAATCACCCGATCCAACCCCCGTTGCCTGGGCCAGAAACCCCTCGCTGTGGGTAGTCCTCGACTTATAACCTCGGTCGTTTAGCGACCAAGAGAGCAAACACAGGATGATAACTTCGTGATGGCCGAGAAAAATCATCCAAATTTAAGGCTTTTCCCCCTGGTGGGATCTTATTTTCTTTGAGGTTTTTCTGGGCCTTCGTTTATCGCTGGCAAAAATTCAGCCTGATATACTGCCCCTGAAGCTGGAGGTTCTACGGAACGAGGAACGGAAAAACGACCACGGATCGGCTTTTCCGGGAACGGCCTGCTCCCTTTGTAATCTCTTTTCAGCTTCTCAAACTGCCTCCCCCTACCCCAAAACGATCCCCTTTTTTAAGTTGAAAAGAGCAACTTTTAGCTCAACGGGGGTTTATTAATAGCTGCAACCTGCCGGCTTCAACATCCGGGCAATTTATCTCACTTCCTTCCTTTCTTTCAAACAAGGCCGGAGGAGAGAAAAGCAGGCCGGGCTGGCGATAGGCGAGCCCCTTCCGGTCACTCCACAACCCCTCATCCCCGGCCTGGGGGCCTCCTTTCCAAAGCAAGAATCCGAATTCAAGACCTCCGCTCAATTGCATCAAAGTTTTCTTGCAGGGTTTGTTTTTTTTGGGGGGGTGGGAGCTCCAGAATCTTTAGAATAGAATTGAGCTGGAAGGGACCTTGGAGGTCTTCTAGTCCAGCCCCCTGGTAAAGGAGCAGAATTTAGAGCGTTGAAGACAAATGGATGTGCAGTCTCTTCTTGAAAACCTCTAGTGATGGAAAGACGGAAAGGAAAGGAAAGGAAAGGAAAGGAAAGGAAAGGAAAGGAAAGGAAAGGAAAGGAAAAAAGAAAAAGAAAGGAAAGGAAAGAAGGAAAGGAAAGGAAAGAAGGAAAGAAAGGAAAGGAAAGAAGAAAAAGAAAGGAAAAGAAAGAAGGAAAGGAAAGGAAAGAAGGAAAGAAAGGAAAGGAAAGGAAAGGAGGAAAGGAAAGAAGAAAAAGAAAGGAAAGGAAAGAAGAAAAAGAAAGGAAAGGAAAGAAGGAAAGAAAGGAAAGGAAAGGAGGAAAGGAAAAGGAAAAGAAAGGAAAGAAAAAGAAAGGAAAGGAAAGGAAAGGAAAGAAGGAAAGGAAAGAAGAAAAAGAAAGGAAAAGAGAAGGAAAGGAAAGGAAAGGAAAGGAAAAAAGAAAAGGAATGGAAAGGAAAGGAAAAGGAAAGGAAAGAAGGAAAAGAAAGGGAAAGAAAGAAGGAAAGGAAAGGAAAGAAGGAAAGAAAGGAAAGGAAAGAAGGAAAGGAAAGAAGAAAAAGAAAGGAAAGGAAAGGGAAGGAAAAAAGAAAAGGAATGGAAAGGAAAGGAAAGGAAAGGAAAGAAGGAAAGGAAAGGAGGAAAAGAAAGGAAAGGAAAGGAGGAAAGGAAAGAAGGAAAAGAAAGGAAAAGAAAGAAGGAAAGGAAATAAGAAAAAGAAAGGAAAGGAAAGAAGGAAAGGAAAGGAAAAAAGAAAAGGAATGGAAAGGAAAGGAAAGAAGGAAAGGAAAGGAAAGAAGAAAAAGGAAAGGAAAGGAAAGGGGGAAAAAGGAAAGGAAAGGAGAATAACAGAATGAAAGTGATGGAAGGGACCATGAAGATCTTCTAGTCCAGCCCGCTGCTCAGGCAGGAGTCCGGCCTCTACCCTTTTAGATAAGGGACCGTCCCGTCTCTTCTTAAACACATGAAGTGGGGGAACCTTCAACCTGAGCCTCCCCCTCCCCTCCCTGAGCTATTTTTGCCCCCCCCCCACCCTTCCCCAAGGGCCGCTTCCAATCTCCCCTTGCAGCTAGTCCTCGGTCGTAAAACGGGTCGTAAAACTCCCTTCCCAAACATCTCAGTGAACAACCGAAAATTCAGGGGTTCCATTTGCGGTCATAAATCGAGGACTACCTGCCCCACGGACTGTGAAAGGAGCCGAAAGGGATGCCCTAACCTGGTTAGCAACAATCCCCGAATCTAACCCAAAGTTTTGGCTTGTTCAAAACTCAACCCCTGGCCGGCACCAAAATTACGCCTGGAAACGAAATTCTCCCATCTCCTGGCGCATTCGGACACGCGGTCCTTCTGACCCCGGACGGGGTCAAGGAAGCTTGGCTGCCCCGCACTCACCTTGTAGGCCTCGCGGGCCGCCCCGTCGTTCCCATCTCCGCGTCGCCAAGGAAGTGTCCCGTCGGGAAATCGGGAGCTCCGGAGGGTGGTACCGAAGAGATCGATGTAGAAGAAGGCGTATTCGCCGGCGGTCAGGCCTTCGCGGTGCGCCTGGAGCATCAGCCCGCGGAAGATGTCGGGCGCGCAACAGACGTACACAACTGCGGAGGAAGCAGCACAACGACTCACACGTCGGCACAAGGGGAGACCCCGGGATGGAAGAGCCAAGGGGCTGGACGGTGGGGGGAGGATGCTTTCCCCGCCACCCCCACCCACCCCCAACGGTGTCAGAGATCGGACGATAAAGCCCATCGTCCCCAGCCCTTCCAGTATGTCATTAAAGAGTTGGGAGGTTTGGATCGGATCTGGTTTCGGGACTCCCTGCCCAGTTCACAATCTTTGGTCCCTGCTCTGTCAGCTGTAAAAAAAAAGATAGATAGATAGATAGATAGATAGATAGAGAGAGAGAGAGAGAGAGAGAGAGAGAGAGAGAGAGATGAGAGAGAGATGAGAGAGAGAGAGAGAGAGATGATAGATAGATAGATAGATAGATAGATAGATAGATAGATAGATAGATGAGAGAGAGATGAGATGATAGATAGATAGATAGATAGATAGATAGATAGATAGATAGATGAGAGAGATGAGAGAGAGAGACAGAGATGATAGATAGAGATAGATAGTTGATAGATGAGAGATAGATGAGAGAAAGATGAGAGACAGAGAGATGATAGATAGATATAGATAGTTGATAGATGATATATAGATGAGAGATAATTGATAGATATAGATAGATAGATAGATAGATAGATAGATAGATAGATAGATAGATAGATAGATGAGAGAGATGAGAGAGAGATGAGAGAGAGAGACAGAGATGATAGATAGATAGATAGAGATAGATAGTTGATAGATAGATGATAGATAGATGACAGAGAGATGAGAGAGATAGATAGATGAGAGAGATATGAGAGAGGATAGATGATAGATAGATAGATAGATAGATAGATAGATAGATAGATAGATAGATAGATAGATAGATAGATAATAGATGGATGGAGACAGACAGACACTTAGACAAAGACAGATAAATGCATAGATGATAGAGTTTGATAGAGATGATAGAGATGGAGGGACAGAAAGACCCTCTTTTCTCTTTTCTCCTTTCCACTTTCCTCCTTCCTCTTTTCTCCTTTCTCCTTTCCACCTTCCTCCTTTCCTCCTTTCCTCCTCCCTCTTTTCTCTTTCCTCCTTTCTCCTTCCTCCTTTCCACCTTCCTCCTTCCTCTTTTCTCCTTTCTCCTTTCCTCCTTCCTCTTTCCTCTTTTCTCCTCTCTCCTTTCTTTCTCCTTTCCCTGGGCTCGTCAGCTTTGACAAATGCCTCTGGATGACTCTTTGCAAGGAAGCAGCCAATGCTTCCAGCCGAGCTGCCGGGCACGATAAAAACCTAGCAACCTGCCCTCCTCGCCCGGGCAGAGCCTGACCCCCTGCTTGGCAAAACCCTGGGCAGCAAGGAGGAAAAAATTCAGCTGGGGCGGAGGAGGAGAAAACGGTGCCAAAAAGGACATTCGAACGAGCTCCGTTTTGCTTCGACAAGCAAGGTTACTGCTGCGAGTCCAAAAAAAAGAAAAAGAGAAACCCCACCCCAAAATGAAATTAAATTCCCTTTTTTTCTGCAAAAGGAGACCCTCGCCTTTCCCCAGGGGTAGCTTTCACCCTGGAGACCCGGGAAGAAACCACCATTAAGGGTTTGTCCACCGCTTACTCCTTGTTTAGGCCAGCGGAAAAGTAGCCTTTTTCATCTTACAAAAATAACCACGATTCGGAGTTTGTGGGAGTGGGAACCAGTCTGAGCTCTCTGAAGCTACTGGAGTTTAATGGAACGGACCCCAAGAAGGAACCGGGGGAGGGGGGGGGCTCAAAGCTTCTTTGGACAATGTCCAATTTTCCTCCGGAACTCCCTGCCACAAGATCCCCTTGGGAGGAAGAATCTCTGCTCTCTCTCTCTCTCTCGAATGCAGAAGCTTCCACAGTGGAAACAGCAGGAAAAACAACCACGAGCATCGAATGCATCTGAGGCTGGCACCCCCAGACGTAACCAACTAACCATGATTGGGGACCATGTTGGTTTGATGCATCCTTGCAAGCCCGGGGCTGCTCCCAAACCCTGCTGGCATTGCTACCGTTCACATAAAGAGAGGAAAAGGTGCCAGCCCAGGTGGGCATCCCTTTATACCCATTGCACACCTGGCAAAAGGAGGGAGGCTGGACTTTCGCTCTTTTGCAGTCGCTCGCTGGGCCTCGGGCCGAGAGACATCCTGTTATTTTCCTGCCGAGCGTCCTTCCCGCCACCGGCAACCAAGGTCAAGGGACACGCTCTGTCCCCCGGGTGGGGTCCCAGCACACGCCAGCAGCCCCCTGCCCGAGCCAGCTTTTTCCTGTTTTGCTGACTTGCAAGAGAGGGGGAAAGCAACTTTCAGCCCTTCTCCCAACCTGCGTTGGGGGCTCAGCTATTTCCAAGCGGGGCTGCCCATTCCAAGCCTTTCACACGCTACAATCCTTTGAGAGAGAGAGAGAGAGAGAAAGAGGTGAGAGAGATAAAGATGATTGAGAGAGAGAGAGAGAGAGAGAGATAAAGATGATTGAGAGAGAGAGAGAGATAAAGATGATAGAGAGAGAGAGAGAGAGATAAAGATGATAGAGAGAGAGATAAAGATGATAGAGGAGAGGTGAGAGAGAGATAAAGATGATTGAGCGAGAGAGAGAGAGAGATAAAGATGATTGAGAGAGAGAGAGATAAAGATGATAGAGGAGAGGTGAGAGAGAGATAAAGATGATTGAGCGAGAGAGAGAGAGAGATAAAGATGATTGAGAGAGAGAGAGAGATAAAGATGATTGAGAGAGAGAGAGAGAGAGAGATAAAGATGATAGAGAGAGAGGTGAGAGAGATAAAGATGATTGAGAGAGAGAGAGAGATAAAGATGTTTGAGAGAGAGAGAGATAAGATGATAGAGAGAGAGAGAGAGAGATAAAGATGATAGAGAGGTGAGAGAGAGATAAAGATGATTGAGAGGGAGAGATAAAGATGATTGAGAGAGAGAGGTGAGAGAGAGATAAAGATGATTGAGAGAGAGAGAGATAAAGATGATAGAGAGAGAGATAAAGATGATAGAGAGAGAGGTGAGAGAGATAAAGATGATTGAGAGAGAGAGAGAGAGATAAAGATGATTGAGAGAGAGAGAGGTGAGAGAGATAAAGATGATTGAGCGAGAGAGAGAGAGAGATAAAGATGATTGAGAGAGAGAGAGAGATAAAGATGATTGAGAGAGAGGTGAGAGAAAGATAAAGATGATAGAGAGATGAGAGAGAGATAAAGATGATTGAGAGGGAGAGAAAGAGAGAGATAAAGATGATTGAGAGAGAGGTGAGAGAGAGAGAAAGATGATTGAGAGAGAGAGAGATGAGAGAGAGATGAGAGATAGATATGAGAGAGACAGACAGACGAGAGACTGATCGACAGATAGATAGAGATGAGAGAGATAGACAGATATGAGAGAGAGAATGAGAGAGAGATAGACAGACAGAGATGAGAGAGATGAGAGAGAGAGATGAGAGAGATGATAGAGATATATGAGAGACAGACAGATATGAGAGAGATGAGAGATACAGACCAACAGAGAGAGATGAGAGAGATAGATAGATATGAGAGATGATAGAGAGAGAGAGAGAGATGAGAAAGAGATGAGAGTGATGATAGCGATATATGAGACAGACAGATATGAGAGAGAGAGAGATGAGAGATACAGACCAACAGAGAGAGATAGACAGATAGATATGAGAGATGTTAGAGAGAAAGAGATGATAAATAAATAGATAAATTGATAGAGGTATGAGAGAGAGAGAGATGATAGACAGATAGAGGAGAGAGAGGAGAGAGAGATGATAGACAGACAAATAGATATGAGAGAGATGATAGAGATATATGAGAGACAGATATGAGAGAGAGACATGAGAGAGATATTATTATTGTTATTATTATAGTTATATTATTATGTTATTATCCATCCTTGGAAATCCGGAAACGGAGGCTACGTAACTCGGTCAGGAAACCGAGGCGAGAAGTCCTCGGCCAGGACCTCTCGCCTTGAATCGAACAGGGATGGGACAGATGACCTCAAAGGAGCCTCCCTTCCTTAAGATCCTGCTAGCAAACAATCCGTTATCGGGGAAGCTTTTAAAATCAGCAGGAAACAGCCGAAAGCGAAGGGCAGGAGTTGGAGAACGGGAGGGGACCTTTGGCTACGCAGGGACATGCCTGCCAGTGCACACAAACACAATTCTCTCCCATACACACACACACACACACACATATACACACACACAATTGTGCAACAGTGCAAGGAAGCCAGAATTCCTCAATTGGGGAGCCGCCTTTGCAAGCAAGCTGCCCTCGGCTCAGGTAACCTGTGCAGAAGTCCAAGTGGGCAGGTTAACATACAGAGTCCGGATTCAGCTGCAAAATCGATTTTTTTTTTAAAAAAAGTCGATTTTTCTCCCCCAAAAAGAGATATATTTCTTTTTGAAATGGCCTGGCCTAAATCTTCTCCCCTTTTGAAATGTAAATTTTAATTTGTTTTTAAATTACGGGGGTATTTTAAATTTGTTCAGCCAAATTATTTAATTCGCTTTTATTCTATTTTAAATTTTTGTATTTACGTGTTTTATCCTGTGGCTGTTCACCGCCCTGAGTCCTTCGGGAGTAGGGCGGTATAGAAATTTAATAAAATAAAATAAATAAATGAAATAACTTTTCAGTTCTCAGCTGGGATGATTCCCCATCCCAAGGCCTTCCCGGAGTCTTCGGATCGACCCGTGCAGATGGAGAGACCGTATATATACGCCTCGGGGTCCAATTCTGACAAGGGCTGATAAATTGATTTATATTTATTTCCTGACTTTCTTCTGCCAGGAGGATCAACCAGCCAGCTGTTCAGGCTGCGAGGGAGGATATCGGAATGGCAATATATCTATTTTGCAAGACAAAAAATAAGTAAAAACTCAGCGTAACGGCGGAGCTCTGGATATTAATTCCTCGAGTTAAGATTTACGGGTTTTGCAAGCTCCTTTTTTGGGGAGGGGGCCTTGGAGCGTCTGGGAACATTCCTGAGAAAAGAAGCCAGATCCTGAAATAACAACTTTGCAGATGACAACCGCAACTCACCCCAGGCGAAAGAGAGGAAGTTTGAGGAGTTTGAGGGGATGATGCGTGCCACGGGAAATTTAGCTGGCCCGCACGGATTTTTTTAGCTCAGTCCTCCCTGATACAGGTACTCCTCGACTTACAGCCACAACAGAGACCAGAATTTTTGTTGCTAAGCGAGTCATTCCAAATTTGCATCGCTAAGCAAGGAGATTGTTAAGCGAGTCATGCAGAATTTCCGTCCTAAGCAAGGAGATTGTTAAGCGAGTCGCACAACATCCATCAGCTCCGCGGTGAACAGAAGCTTTCTGGCCATGCTCAGAGGCAACTCTTTGGACCCTCCCGAGCTTGGAAAACAGGCTCGTGGGCCCAAGGAAGACCCCGAAGGCAGGCCCTCCGAGGTCCCACCTGACAGAGCTGACCTTCTGCAGGACAAGGAGTTCCTTCTCTAGATGCCAACCAAACTTCGGCAAGAATCCCTCCGAGAACCCACCAAGTGTTTTCCCTGCTCCCCAGCCCCCTTAAAAGAGAAGAGAAGGGGGGTCCCCATTGCTCCTCCTCCTCCTCCTTCTTCTTCCCAAGGTCAACAACGGAAGGATGCCCTAAAGTCGGCGGGGAACTTACTCCGAGCTTTCTCCTTGATCTCCTGGATGAGGTCGGTGTAATTGGTGTCCATGAAAGTGACGTCTTTGATCGTCATGTTGTGGAAGGATGGCAGTTGGAGGTAGAGACCCTCGACGGCGAAGTAACACGGACGGTCGTCCTTATTGTTCTCCCAGTAGAGCAACATAGCCCGGCTACTCCAGTTGAAATGCTGGCTGAGGCTGACTCCGAACTCGCCCAGCTTGCTGTGGCTGGCTCCCGTGCGGGTCACCAAAGCATACTGGTCTTCCTTGAGGTTGAAGCCGACGGCCTCGGCCGCCGCCGTCACCACGGGCAGGCCCCAATGTCTGGCGTAGCGGGCCACGGGCGCCGTGGTGTAGACGCAGCCCGGTCCCACGAAGACGTGAGGGGGGTTGTTGGCCATCTTCAGGTCCACGGCGGCCAGCGGGGCCGTAATGTCCGAACAAATCCCTTGACTGTCTTCGCTGCTGGAGAAAACCAGCTGCACTGTGTAGCCCGGCAAGAGGTCAGGCTGGGCGTTCACCTTCTGGATGGCCAGCTCGATGGCCGGGCCGACCCGTGGCCAGGCCCACGGGTAGGTGGTGTTGTGGTGTGGCAGGATGACAGCCAGGATGAGGTTGGCCCCGTCGGCCCGATCCCACTGAGTCAAGACGGCCAGCAGTGCCCACGCCAGCATCACACCCTCCATGGGGCACCAACTGGGCCCCTGCGGCCCACCCACACTCCTTCCTTTATCTGACTCTAGAGACCTCCCCAGATTCCTAGTTCTTGCAAGGGGTACAGAGAGAGACCCCCAACTCTTTAATTCCTCCCCTTCCCCAAATTCCTTCCTAGGCAGCGACCCACCGAGTGGTGGCATGCAGCCGGCGGGGCTCACACACAAGCTGGGCACCCCATGTTTATCCAGAGCCGCTGTCCAAACTTGCCCACTCCCCTGCTTTGGGGGTAGGACCCCCCCCTACTCACTCCCCTTCTGGATCTGCCTCTCGGGCAAAGGCAGGGATCACTCCCAAGTTGCTTTCTCCAGCCGCCCAGCTCTCTGGCGGGCACGCCTGGCGTCTCCTGGGGTCCCCAGCCCAGCAAATCCTGCGGTGCCCGCCTCTCCTTCCTTCCCGAAGCTCAGACGGGGCAGGAATGAGTGAAACCTCCAGATTGTGGGAGTCTTTTCTTTCCCTTTTCCCTCCTCCTGGTTGAACAGAGCAAAGGGCTTTGCTATCACCAGCCAAGCAGCTTAAGTTTAACCCCTTCCTGCCCAGGCAGCCCCACCTCCTCCTCCTCCTCCCCACCCTGGCAGGGAAAAAAGGGGGTAATTTGTGGGCAAGGCTTATCCCCAGATAACATCTACCTCCCCCTGCCTTTAAAAAAAAAACCCCTAAATTAAGTTCAATTTCTTTCCTCTACAATCACGGGCACGGATTAAAAACTCATTTTGCGGCTCTTTGGGAAGAGGCATGGCACAGCGCCCGGCGAAAGGTTTCCCAGGTACCAAGAGGGTTCTAACTTTTTTGGGGGGGAGGGGAAACAATGTTAATTCCTTCCTCGCCCCTCCCCCCCCCCACCTCCCAATTCATTTCGTTTGCAAGCAACTTGGCTTTTTTGTGAAAAAATAAGCAATGTTAAGGTTACCGAGGCAATGAATTGATTCATTCTGTGACAGGCCCCCATTTTCAAAGCTATCGGTTGCAAAAAATAGATAGATGGATAGATATGAGAGAGAGAGAGAGAGAGGGAGGGGAGAGAGATGGAGGGGAGAGAGAGAGAAAGAGAGGGAGAGAGAAAGAGAGAGATGATAGAGATTGAACAGAACAGAATAACAAAAGTTGGAAGGGACCTTGTAGGTCATTTAGTCCAACCCCCCATCATAGTTGATAAATGATAGATGATAGATAAATGATGATAGATAGACAGCCAGATAGAGAGAGATATAGACGATAGATGATAAATAAATGATGATAGATAATAGATTGATAAATGATGATAGATAGAAAATAGGTGGGTGGATGGATAGATAGATGAGATAGAAAGATATGCAGACAGATAGATGATAGATAGATAGATAGATAGATAGATAGATAGATAGATAGATAGATAGATAGATAGATAGATTTTGTGTGTGAGAGAAGATATAGATAGATTGACAGATGACAGATAGATGATAGATAAAAAGAGAGGGGGTGACAGAGGATTGGTGGCTGGACGGATAGATGGATAGATAGATAAAGACAGAGATGAAGAAAAGAGATAATGTGACACAGAGAGATAATAGGTAGATAAATAGATAGATAGATAGATAGATAGATAGATAGATAGATAGATAGATAGATAGATAGATAGATGATAGATAATAGAGGTGAAGAAAAGAGAGAGATAATGTGACACAGAGAGATGATAGATAGATAGATAGATAGATAATGAAGAAAAGAGAGAGATAGTGTGACACAGAGAGATGATAGGTAGCTGGGTAGGTAGGTAGATAGATAGATAAATGATAGATAGATGTAATTGATAATATAAATGAGAAAATATAATAGAGATGATAGATAGATAGATAGATAGATAGATAGATAGATAGATAGATAGATAATAGAGATGAAGAAAAGAGATAGTGTGACACAGAGAGATGATAGATAGATAGATAGATAGATAGATAGATAGATAGATGATAGATAGATAGATAGATAGATAGATAGATAGATAGGATGGATGGATGGATGGATGTTAGATAGATAAATAAGACAGACAGACAAACCAAACAGGCAGAAACATATCCCAAGACTTTCACATATCTTGAAATTTTAAAAACGGCATTTTATTCCAGAATGTTCTTCCTTCACAGAGATGGATGGATGACAATTTTCCATTTCCGGAGACGTTTGAAGACTCTTGCCAGCTACTTCTTCCAGAGTGTTGAAACCGGTTTTCCTTCCCCTTGCAGAAAGGGCGGACTAGATGCCCTTTAAAAGGTTTCCTTCCCACTTGATACAATTCTCTAATTCTCTTTTTTTCCCCCGGTTTGTTTGTTTGTTTGTTTGTTGGGTTTCCACATTCTCTCATAAAAAGCCACAGGCAGGAAATTGATTTTTCTCTTCCTCTGCAACCAACGTGGAAACGAAGGCGATAAAATCCTCAGCCAGCAGGTTAATTTACGTAGGTTTCTTTTCTTTTTTAAGAGTTTGCTCATATTGGGGATTATGGTTGATCATTAATCCAGCATCCTGCTGAGTTTTGTTTTTTTCTGTTTTTGTTTTTAACGAGACTTCTTTGAAAAGGTAAAAAAAGAATCGAAGCACCAAAGCAGATTCATTTTTTCCCCCAGGATTTTAAAGGCTTCCCAAATTGGATCAACGCTTATTCTGCAAGGGAAGCTTTGCATCATTTTAATTCCTGCAGGCTGCTTACAAGCGCAGGTCGTTTAGTGACCATTCACAATTACAACGGAACGGGAAAAAAAAAAGAGTGGTGGGGTGGCCTAGGGGTGGAGCCTCTCGCCTCACAACCAGGAGGCTGTGAGTTCGATCCTAGTTAGAGGCTCCTATTTCTCTCTCTGGGCACAATGAGAGTATATTTGCCGAACAAAACTCTGCCCTGGCGTCGGGAAAGGCATCCGGCCATTAAAACACTCAGCTCCATTCAGTCGCCCAGACTCCACCCCGCAAGGGATTATGGGGGTCGTTAAAAGAAGAGGAGGCTGCTTACAAGCACAGTTCGTTTAGCGACCGTTCAAAATTACCACGGCGCTGAAAAAAAGGACCGTTTTTCAAACTTACGACCGTTGCAGCCTCCCCGGGGCCCCCCAACCCCAAATTCGGACCCTTGCAACCAACTCATATTTATGAGTCACCCAGGGGAGAGGTCACACAATCCCCTTTTGCAACCTTCTGACCAGCCAAGTAAACGGGGGGGGGGGAGCCAGATTCACTTAACGATGACGTTACTAACTTAACCCCTGCAGGGATTCGCTTAACAACGGTGGCAAGGAAGGTTGTAAAACGGAGCGAAATTCTCTTGGTAAAAGTCCCCACTTAGCAACAGAAATTCTGGGCTCAATTGTGGCGGTAAATTGAGGATTACCTGCACACCATAAGTTTTTCCACCTTATTTTGCCATAAATCTTCACTTAAAATTTCAGCTGCAGCTCAAATGGGATTCTAAGTACCCTTAGTCAGAAATGAAGGTGGTGAATAATTTACTTCTGAGTAAATACGCACAGCAGCCTCCGGGGCACTTCCATGGACTCAGATGGGTGGCAGACGCATTTCCCAAGAGTTGCCACTTGTTCCAAGCAAACGTGTCCAATTTTTTTTTTTTTTTAAACGCCGCAAAGTTGGAATAAGGGAATTTAGGAATTCTCTGTTGGTGTTTTGCGGAGGGATTGATTAATCCTATCAGGTACATCACATTTAAACCACCGGTTCTTAACTTTGATGCTTTGAAGATGTTTTGGACTTTAACTCTCGGAATTCCCTAGCCAGAATTTTGAGAGTTGAAGTCCATCTGTGCTGGCTGGGGAATTCTGGGAGCTGAAGTTCCTTCACATTGCCAAGACTGAAAAACCCTGATTTTATGCTATCAGAAGCCATCCGCCCTCGTTGGATACAAGATGAGGGGTAAATAAATTTAATAAATAAATAAGTTGGTAGGTGGGTAGGTGATAGATAGGTATGATAGACAGATAAGATAGAAGATGGATGGTTGGGTGAGATAGATGGATAAATCGATAAATAGTTTGGAGAGACAGACAGAGGACAAGGAAAATTAGGTAGATTGATTATAGAGATAGATAGACACAGATAGATGATAGATATAAAGATAGAAGATGGGTGAGTAGATAGATAAAAAGATGGATAGAAATAGTTGGATAGATGATAGAAATATAGATGGATAGCTAGATGATAGATAGATAGATAGATAGATAGATAGATAGATAGATAGATAGATAGATAGATAGATAAGATAGATAGATAGATAGATAGAAAGATAGATGATAGATAGGTATGATAGATAGATAGATGAGAGAAATATAGATAGGTGGATAGATAGATAGATAGATAGATAGATAGATAGATAGAAAGATAGATGATAGATAGGTATGATAGATAGATAGATGAGAGAAATATAGATAGGTGGATAGATAGGAAGATAGATAGATAGATAGATAGATAGATAGATAGATAGATAGATAGATAGATGATAGATAGATAGTTAGAGATAGATAGATATAGATAGATAGATGAGAGAGAGAAATATAGATAGGTGGATAGATAGGTAGGTAGATAGATAGATGATAGATGATGGATGATGGATGGATGGATGGATAGATAGATGAGAGAGAGAAATATAGAAATATAGATAGGTGGATAGATAGGAAGATAGATAGATAGATAGATAGATAGATAGATAGATAGATAGATAATAGATAGATAGATAGATGAGAGAGATATAGATAGGTGGATAGATAGATAGATGATAGATAGATAGATGATGGATGGATAAATAGATGAGAGAGAGAAATATAGATAGGTGGATAGATAGGAAGATAGATAGATAGATGAGAGAGAGAGAGAGAAACATAGCTAGCTAGATGGATGGATGGATAGATGAATGGATGGTAGTAATATAGAAATATAGATAGGTAGATGGTAGACAAGATTGACAGATAAGAGAGACAGAGAGAGAAGCAAGGAGAGGCTGCAGGTTTAGCTAGCAAAGACAATTTTCCATTTGGGCATCCAGTTTCTGCAAAACTGCCAAAGAAATCCTCCTAAAACAAGTTTTCCCAGAGTTTTGACAGGGAAAAATCTAGGTGATATATTTGCCCTGTCAAAACCCTGGGAAAACCATGTTTTAGGAGGATTTCTTTGGCCTTTCTTTGGCCCAGTTTAGGGAAGGGGGAATCATCCATCCCAGCCACAGTTCATCCTGCCATGCATAGCAAAAGGTGGGAGCAAATCAGAAGGGGGTTAAAAGAGACGATTGGAAGGACAAGCGCGCCCTCTCGCGGCCGGCCTTTGGCTCTGCAACTAATTTTAACCCAGAGGGAGGAAAAAAAATAAATTAAATTAAACAGGAATTGAGTTTTTTTAGATCAGGGATCCAGGCACCAACAGGCGATCCTGCAAAGAGAAGCAGCCCATCTTGAATGGATCAAGTGAGCCAGCTTCTGGATTCAGCTGGATTCTTCCTCCAGCTATGATAGAAAGCAGAGTTTTCTTTTTTTAAAAAAAGAAAAAATCAATAATATAAACCAGGATTCTGCACAATTAAATTACCAGATAACACACACACACACATCAGCTTTTAAACTCTTTATTTACCCCTTGAATTGCATACCATATAATGCAATGTAGAGGGAAAACTGAAAAAAATTTAAAATTTAAAATAAAAAAAAGAACCCCCGATAGGGGAGGAAAAAGGCAGAGCTGGTGGAAAGACCCAAGAAAACAAACCCAGATGCAGAAGGGGTGGGGGGAAAAGGAAAGGGATCCCCGTTTTTTTTTTTTTTTTTTTAAAAGGGAAAATTTTGGGGATGCAGTTTTCCCACTCTGGCTGTATCAATCATCCTTAGGGATGCCCAGAATGCAAAAGTGAAAGCCTTAAACGCAGGAATGATAAGCCAAGCGTCCAACTGAAGGGCTAAAAAAAAATGTGCATCGGGTTTTCTGAGTTTATTTTAAATTATTTTGGACAGTTTAAGGGGGGGGAGGGGAAAAAAATTAAGGTTAGCAGAGGATGGTTTCGATCCATCGACCTCTGGGTTATGGGCCCAGCACGCTTCCGCTGCGCCACTCTGCTTCTCGGAAAACCTGCTGTCTTTCGACCGACTATGAAGAACCGAGGCACATGCGCACTGAACATTTTCAAACGCTGAATGGAGTCTTGTTATAAAAAGTACAGGTTTCCCGCCCTGCGCATGCGTCAACTGTCGGAATCTCTCGCCCACAATTCTCTTTGGGATTGGTTAACCACCTTCCCGCTCGCCGCCTTCCCATTGGCTACATTTTCCCTTTGTTGGGGCAAGCGGCGTTCATCAGGGACAGACAGATAGAAAGACCAATAGCTTTCAAGAGAAGGGCGTTGGGTTAAAAAAACCTGCCCCGATTGGCTAAAACGGGCGAGGCGCCAGAGCAACCAATAACGAGCCCGCTTACTCAGCCGCGCGTCCAATCGCGGCGCGGCTTGTTGCGAAGTGGGCGAAGCGGCGAGTGCCGGAGCGGGGCCGGGTGGCTTTTCTTTCAGATTCCTCGCTCGCTTTTTTTTCGTCCCCTTTTTTTCCGAGCGCGGCTCGCCGGGAATCGTTTTCCCCGCCTCAGCCCGGAGCGGAGACGGTTCTTTCCTCTGACGGGACAGACATGAGGTAAAGCCAGAGGGGGGAGGGGGGGAAAAATCGAGGCCTTCCATCCTCTGAGGGGGAAAAAAAAAAAAGCACGTGAAAGGACTACAACTCCCATCGTCCCCGAGAGATGGGAGTTGTAGTCCCGGATTGTGGGGGAGGGAGAGAAAAGCAGGAAAGTAGAGCCTCCAAAAACAGCAGCAGTCTATCTGCGGAAGGGGGGAGGGGGGGAGCCAGGAGAGGCGGGTTTTTTGATGCTTTGAATGGTGGTTTGTGCTCTTCGGGTTCATAATAATAAGTGAATAATAATAATAATAATAATAGCAATAGCAATAGCAATAATAATAGCAACAATAATAATAGCAACAATAATAGCAATAATAATAATAGCAATAATAATAATAGCAATAATGTTAATATTATAACATAACTTTGCTATATTGCTATAACAATAATAACCTATCATTGAGAGTGATAATAGTAATAACAAAATTATAATGATGATGATACTTATTATAGTAATTCTGGATTCCCAAAATGATAATCTTATTAATAGTGATAATGACAATTAATAACAATATAATTATTATAATTCTGGATCCCCAAAATGATAATCCATCATTAATAGTGGTAATGACAAAATGATAATGATACTTATGATTA